AATTTGCTCTCAAAATATTTTCTTTTAACGGTTCTAGTACACAGTACTAGAACGAATACATTAATGATGAAAACGGCGACTTGTTTCCGATATTATCTCTGATAATGTGTTGGTCATATTTGATGTATCGGCCTTCAGCTTTCAAGTTACGAACGTATTGATGTAATTATATATCATATACGATAAATGGAGCCCAATCTATATATATGTATATATAATATAACATATACAGTTCAACTAACTTCACGCAAACTTAAACTTTTGTATTGGAACCATATACGAACTTCACATTGATACATTGATTTAAGGATGCAGTATGAATAGTTTAAGATGCCATTAACTAAATCTGAAAATATAATTATGAAAATTAATCGGATATCACAAACAAAATTGAAAAGGTTTTCATATTTTATCATTGCATCACTTTAGCCACAATCATTTAAAGACACGGAGTTACGGTTAAAACCTCATCGGTTACTCTTCTTTATTTTAAATGCTGCAATCACTTAACTCTTTTTTATTACTTTCCACATCCATAATCATAATAATATATGATTATAATATAATATCATAATAATATATCATAATAAACTAATTTTTCATTGGGATTGTTAGACACAATCTGGACTCTAAGACTCTGTATCAGTTTTGCAACTTTTTATATATGAGGTTATAAGATGAATTTTATGAATTTTTAAAATTCTTAATCTGAATCATTATTTTCGAGAGAATTTTCCAACTTCCCCTTGTCGCTAAACCATGTACGATAATATTCTTTTGATCTCTGCAAACTATGGTTAACGCTATCATCACTATTAGTGTTATAATGGCTAGAGTGACTAGAACAAGTGGTACTGGTATTATAGAAATTGTCTTCTGTATCATCATTTTCTGAATCCGAATCGCTGCATACGTACCATTTTTTATCTTTCACTGAAAAATACATAGTAGTGCCTGGTTCCTGAGGAATATAATCCGGATATGATATAACTTCATTTTGTTTTCTACGTGTATTGTGATCACAGTTTTCGGAAGCGGTGGGATAAGAATCGGTATTTAGATCTTTAAGACGAGTATAACTGCTGTTCATTGGTTTATTATATGGTTCTAGTTCTTTCGGAAATGGTGCTACATCTCCTTCAACATACCATTTTCCTTCCAACACAGAAAATAGTAACGTGATGTCTTCATTTTGCTTTTCATTATTAGAACATTCTGGATACAAATATTTTAGTGTACTATGTTCCATTAGTGGACCAGATGGATATTTTAGATTCTTATCTGTTTCACTAGAGTTTGATTGTTCGGTTGAGGTATCAACTGGAGAAGTTTTGTAGTGCGAGAAGATGGCATTTTTCAATGATTGCTCCTTCATTGTTGCTTTATTTTGAAATGGGTTTTGGAATGAGTTTTGGTGATCATCCTCACGTATTGTTCTATCATTACCTAAAGTATTCTTTAAAGAAGAATTAATCAGAAAGATTCAGTAAAATAAAATAAAATTTATAGTTAAAAACAATACTGTGCTCACTTGGTTTGTTAAGGTTGATTTAGAGTTTGAGTTTTCTTTAATCGCAACTGACGTTTTTTGTGACGTTTCCATTTGTTCTTGTTGAGAAGTAATTACTTCTGAGATATTGAAAAACCTAGGCATGAAAAGTTCATCAACTGCACTATATTGGCGTTCCAGTGCTTTAGCCATGTTATTTTGTGTAACATACTTTTTTGTTAAGCAATAATATTAAATTAAAATTTATAAATAACTAAATGAAATATGTACGATAAAAGATATATAAAGATATACTTACTTCTGTTTCAATCCCACAAGTTAGTTTTATTTTCCTTCCGTCAATTTTATAGGTAAATACAGGTTTCTGAATCGGAACATAAAGGTTTGATGCTGTGAAAGTGTAAGCCTCGGTTTCCATTATAACTGGTCTGCTAACACCTGGTTCAGTGGGCATTAAAACTGTTTTGTCTGTGGAAGTCTCGTTTTCACTTTCTAGAATTTTTACATATTTTTTATTTGTGATATGTTTCATATTCATGATTATTTTTGTAATATGTATAAATAAATCATTAACAGAGGGCGAATGTATAATAATATACATAACATATTAAAGTCATTAAATGTTAAAACTTGAGTTTTTAAAATTTTATTAGCATATTTTTACCTTTTGAAGAATCAGAATCATTACTACCATCAACCATCTCAACTAATAACACCTCCTTTTCAGACATCCAAAATTGTTCAATATGATTCGTTGTTACTTTATCAATAATTTTTATGTACCGAAAATTGCTTGTCATGGATATGTAGAAACAAACCACAGAAATATTGTTAGCCAAATTTTTGAATTTACCGTGTCTAAAAAAATATATATATGGAAACGAATTTTTTTATTTCAAATATTTATATATCAAAATTTCATAGCCAACTTCATAAATTCTTTATTGGATAGAGCACTATAGTATAACATATGATTGAACTCTTTATCTAAATGGAAATGTATTTACTTTAAATTCAATTTGTACAAAGATTATTTCAATGTAATTACAACTGACATTTCGTTGACTTTATTCTAATCCGATCTGCTCAATAAGAGCCAGATATAAATGTTAAATTCATTTTCTAGCATTGAGTTAAACTTAAATTTTGATAGGGAAGAATTTCCACCATTGATATTTATATTTTTAAAAATTATTTGTAATTATTTAAACAATAGAAGTACTTTCAAGGACTACTGAAGCAACTGCACATTTCATTTCATTCATTAAAAATAAAATTTTTTTGGTGGACCATCACAGTTAACATTTTTCATTGGAATTTTGTGTCAGAAAACTATAACTCTACTTAAAATCCCAAATTCATAAATACTTTTGGGGCTGTATTCCTATTTGCAGATGCTAGTACTAGAAATTACTTAGATTCTTAAAACTTGTGTTTAAACTTCACAAACGCTAAAACTGGGACGATTAAAGTAAGTCTACAATCTATGGGTTTCAGTGGCACAGATTTTGCTCACTTCACTCACCAATTTTTGACATTGTTTTCATATATGAGGATCAGTTAAAATTGAATTTTGAATTCATTTTGATAGTTTTCGACATAGAACGGCTGTTTTCTTTTAGAAAATCAAAGCACGATACTTTGAAAATAATGTTACGGATTTCTGTTTTCTTTCTTTAAAAGCTCCACTAAACACAAATATTCCTTTATTGTTCCTTTAATAGCTACAATGCGGAATGCCACATCAGCATTATTGCAAGATGAAGAAACAACGAACCTCGTTGCTATTTTTCTGTTCTCCAAGCTGATATGGAGTGGTTTTAAGGGATTCGTATTTGGGAAAGACGCAGAAGAAGGCGAATATGGAGAAACTATCGAATCTTAGATGCGGTGTTCTAATAGAGTGAACAGAGTGATGTGACTGGCTGTGTATTGTGCAAGATATGTTCGTTTTTAATTAGAATTTAGTAATAGGAAAAATAATAAAAATAATGTGCGTCTTTTTTCACGTCACCAAAAACTCAAATGCTTTTTATTTAGAGGAGATGATTTGATTTAAATTTTCTCCCATTTTGTGAGTCTAACGCGCTATTTGTTGTAGTAATATCAAATATCATAATACGAACTTTTGCGTTGATTACAGAATTATTTGTAACAAAAGCACCTTATGTGATTTTAATAGAAACCGAATATTTTAAATTTGTGCAATAGAAGAATTTGATAATCTACATTCTGTATGTGAAGACATCAGATGCAGATTTATACTAAATATGACATAGTTAGATAAGGTCCGAAGGGTTTAGTCAAATAATGACAATAATTTTTTTTTTTTTTATTATTTGAAACACAATATGTACAATAATATAAATACATGTTTCATTTGACTATGACTAGTTCATACAAAGAACTATCAAGCAGTTTTGTTACATTACAGAATACTTACTAGAATTGTGAAGTTGTCAAAGACTTAGTCTTAATAGTACTAATCTAAATTATTATTAGACTACTAATTCGGGAGTAGATCCGAAGGCTTTGTTCGTTTAAGTCTTCTCAGCAGGCCAGATGTATTAGACACATTGTTGACTGTCTCGTTTGGATGCTGTTGTAATCGTTTTTGGTGCTTTACCGCGAACTTCTGGATTACTGCAGCCACAGATTCGATCTTCAAGTCCCGATGCAGGTCAGTATTCTTAATAAACCACGGAGCGTTGAGTAAGTTTCTCAAAAATTTGTTTTGAAAGTTTTGAATGATTTGAATGGTGGATTTTGGTGCACATCCCCATAACTGGATTCCGTACGTCCACACCGGAGCTAAAACTTGCTTGTATATCATTAATTTATTGTTTAGAGAGACGGGTGATTTGTTCCCAAGAAGCCAATATAAATTTTTGTGTTTGGATTCTAATTCAACTCATTTTTTCTTTATATGTTCTTTCCATTTCAACTTAGCATCTAAGTTCATGCCAAGGTATTTAGCTGTATTTGAGTATAGTATTCGAGCACTGCACATAGTTATCGGCAAATAGTCAATTTTTTTGTTTGTGAAATTTACATGGACGGATTTCGTTTGGTTGAGCTCAATTTTCCATTTTTTAGTCCAACTAATAATTTGATCAATGGAATGTTGCGTTGCTTCTGTTGATTCGTTTATGGTGTTTCCAGTGGTAAGTATCGCTGTATCATCTGCAAACGTGGCAATAACACTTTCTGGTGGGACTTGTAGGTCGGCTGTGTAAATTAGGTACAGAATTGGGCCAAGTATACTTTCCTGTGGTACTCCGGCTTCAATTGGTTCAAGTGTTGAGTACGCACCTTAATATTTCACTCTGAAGAATCAGCAAGATAAGTAGGACCACATCCTTTCGGATATTTGTCTCGAAAACCACTATTCAATCTTATGCACAAGTCCTTTGTGCCAAACTTTATCAAAGACTTTCGATACGTAGAATGCTTTTTTTGGAACTCAAACTGATGACTCGGAACTATTTGATTTTCTGTGAAAACAATCTGTATTCCATTAAGGAAAATTCGTTCAAAGATTTTTGATAAAACGGGTAATAAAGAAATTGGACGATACGACGAAAACCTTCTAAGTTTTCCTTGTTTGTGTACCATAAGTACTTCCGCCACTTTCCAATAAATTGGGAAGTGTCTTAAGCGCAGAGCTGCATTAATTATCTTGCATAGTTTGATTATTCCTTTGTTAGGGAATTGGTTTACGATCTCAGCGGTTATCTGATCCCAACCAGGAGCCTTTTTTAGTTTCATATTTCTTATTTCATTTTTTATTTCCCTTGGCGAAGTTGGTTGTATTTCTTCGTTTAATGGATTTAAATTAGACGTAGGAAGATTATTTCCATCATCATTTAGTGTAAATGTTGCCTTAAGAAATTTTGCGAATAAATCTGCTTTTTCTTCGCCACTTTTGGCCCATGATGTGCCATCTGCTTTAATAGGAGGATTCCACATCGAGTAATCTGTGTGTTTCTCATAGGAAAGGCTTCTAAGATTCTATTGTATCTTATCGTTTTTAACATTATTGATAAGTTTTCGTAGTTGTGCAGTTTTCCTATTTAATTCCGTTTTATCAGTTGGTGATCGTGTTTGTTGCCATTTTTTACGCAATTTCCTTTTCTCCCATATTAGTTTATTTATTTCTTTTGGAAGAGTTGGTCTAATCTGGTGTTTAGAGAACTGAGAAGTACTCATCCATGCTGATTTTTGAATCTGCTGTGTAAATAGAAGAACTTCGTTATCCACTTCAGTCGCTGAGTTTAGATCAGAGTTAAGATTAAGAGTGTTTTCAAGGTTCAACCTAAAGTAATCCCAGTCAGTAGATCTATTTATTAGGTAAGGCTTCGGTTCATTTATGACTACACTTTTATTAATAGAGAGGTGCACAGGTGAATGATCAGAAGAGAGATCGTATCCATTTTCTATTTGTAAGAGTTCTTTCGGTATTTTTTTAGTTATAAAAAAGTCAATCAGATCCGGTATTTTCGCTGGGTCAGTTGGCCAATATGTTGGGCTTAGTTGTAGTTAATCGCGAACCCCAATGGACATGTTTAGCGTTGAAATTGCCGCCAATAATGAATTTATTGATGACAATAATGCGGAACATATAAATACGTGAATCAATAATAATTAAAGATTGAAGATTCATTAATTTCTTACTAATACTAACTTCATTGATATGTTATTAATGAATCAGTTAACAATTTTAACGAATATTTTATTCTATCAAAAGATTGAATTGGAATTAGAAAAATAAATCATATAAATTTATTCAGAATAGCTCTATAAATCTAAGCTCTACATAACTATGCTCCATAATCCTCATTCATCTGCAAAACCAGTTGGTGAATATAGTTGTACGTGTTCTTCCTTCTGTGTGATTGATTTTGTAGAATAACTAGCAAGAAAAAGAGAATCATTTTTTTTACCTTGTTTTTTACTCATCATCTGACATAAATTTTATAAGTCCTCCTTATTTATGTTGGTTTATGAAATTTACATTATATTTGTGTAAATTTTTGAAGTCCCCATTTATTTGTTAAAAACAATTGCATTGTATGGCTTTGAGTTTTGACTATTTCGTTAAGACAAGTGCTAGGGGGGCTTGTTCTTCATCAGATTTAGTGATATCTCAGAAATAAATTCAACTTTGGACTAAGTATTACAGATTATTATTCGTGTTTTTGAAAGAATAGAGGCTACAGATACAAGTTTGACCTTAGACGTTGGTTGTGAGGTTATATTTTTGTTGACAATATTTTTAACTCAATTTATAAATGCATATAGCTTCAGTTGCTATATATAAAAATTGTTTTAATTATTATGGAAATGCTTTATTGTGACCTTCTTTTATGTACGGTGTTAAATAGGATTTTGGTTTCTTGCTTATTTTCTTTGTTTAAAATAAAAAAGTTCTGTTGCTATCAAATGAGGGTGTTTGGGCTGTATGCATTCAGTTAGTACTGAAAGTCTATTGCCAGGGAGTATATTCGTCAGTGCTCTATCTTTACTAATATTATTTGTTTTCGCACTTCCGGAATTGTCTTTTTGGGGATTTCACTTACGTTTAACATTAAAATAACAAGCTATAGTTGTCGAAAATACTATTTTCTTCCTTAGGCTATCTATGTGGGAACTGCAGGTGATGCTGTTGAAGATAAACAGAAATTTATTAATATTTACAATATTCAAAAAATAACGTTGCATACAAGTGCTGTATAAGATGTTGTTTTTTTTAAATGGTTTCCTCAGAAATCCAAGTAAGATTTAAAGACAAGTCTTTGAAAATGCATCGCCTTCACGTTCCATGAATCACCATTGTTGTATTTTTTGAGTCTTTCTCTGTAGAAACAGACCTAAATCGGTTTGATCTAAATCAAATTATTTGAAGTCTAATGGGAACAAATCTTTTCCACTGCCAATTTGTCATATTATTTTAAATTCTGTTTATTCTCGTTGAACGAATGCCTATGGCTACCACAACTTTACTTCTTATTTGTTGAAAACACGGATTCATCATATACTGATGAATTCGAAAGTTTATGCCTGAACTTCATTTTGTTACGAAGACCTTTCAAATGCAAAAACATTCTGGATGAGGTAGGGCTGAAAAATGTCTATCAATTGACTCTTTGAGGTATAGGAAATCAAACCGGTTAAAAGTAGTATGTATCTTCAAATCTTCTTAAGTATGTCAAATACATCATTTATATATAGTGAAGACGTTTATACAACGACGGATTATTTCCCTTACATTATTGGGGTTCTTCAGAAATTTCTTTATTAAGCTGCTTGATGTTGCAATTGAAAAGCGGTAACTGTCAAAATTATTATTTAAGACACATAATAATGATTTATCACCAAATTTTTACATTCAATTAATGAAAAGAATATGCTATATAAGAATTATTCTATAATTAATTATAAATTATTTCTCAAATGAAGTTATTAAATGCTATCTGTGAGGAGGTCATTATATAATTGAGTATACATGAGTGTTATAGTCTTAAGGAATTGCTTTAAAAGATATTTCAGATTTCTTAACTTTTTTAAATGTTTCAATCTAGTCCCAAATTATTTATATTTTGGGTAATAAAAAGTTGGAATTACTCAAATAAGCACAAAAAGAAATCATCTGTCAAAAAACACTTCCAAACGAGCAGTTGCCACCGAGTTGAGTTCAACTACGCAACAGCCAACCGAATCCTTCATACATGTCTCATAAACTAATTAAGTGTGGTTTTTAAATGATTCACAGAATTATTCCATATGCTTGCAATCGATCAAAATGCCATCCTGGATGTGGTAATTTCAGAAGACTTGATCACAGGGAACTACGTTAGGGTAATACAATATTTGTTCCCTCGTATTTGTAGAGTTCAATGCTTCCAATTCACACAAATATAGTTAGGACAATACAGTTAGGCGTGTTTTTTAGTTTAAATGCACCGGATATTATTTATAATATATAATATATATTATACATATAATAATATTATACACATATTATACATACAATAAAATATATTTATAATATGTAAATAATATTAGTTAATTTTTGACGTACGAGGCAAATAAATTTCTTCGGCTACGATTTAAACGCAACTTCTTACAATTTTTATTCGCATTCCTTTTTTATGTTCATATATTCCCTATGAATACCATTAAGATTTTAGAAAAAAAATTTTTTAAATGCGCCTTTAAAATTATCTAAATATATTCAAAAAAATATATTAATACTTAATTTTGGAATGTTATTTCATATTCAATTATTTCATATCCTTTTTCGTTCCCGTCCAAATTTTGATTTATTATTTCATAAACATGAATTCTGAAACTAATCCCGATGTTAAGAAAATCCTTTCAAACTTTATTAATAATTGGTATATGTATATAACATAGATAGATTAATAATACTTAATATTTTGAAGTATTACACATGTCATGATGTCATATTATAATGTATTCAGCTTTAAACATTTAAATTTTATTAATTCCTGAAAACTGCTATTACTTAACTTACTACAGTGCAGAGTCATTTACAGTCCTAGTCAAAAGTATTTACATAACGAAAATTTTTGGGCATATTGCAATAAAGCAGATTTGCTATTGTTGTTGGAGATATGTTAAGTTGCGAAAAAAATTTTTTGTATCACTTATATATATATATATGGTGAGACGGCGTACCGTTCACCAAGTGGCCCCACTGAAGTGAATGATTAGCCGAAGTAGACCACGAAATTACTTGGATCCTTTTTCGTCCTTCTATTCTCAGATGTCGTTATTGAATTAAAGCTGGAGTGGCTTCCGTTTGCATAACTACATCTCTTGTTAATGCAAGCAGCTCATTTAGCTGGAGGTTGCCTGCCAATTCTTCACCAACCCAATGGTGTTACAAGACAGTCTTTCTCCTGCTTGTTAGTGCTGCTCATAGCCACAATATATGCACCGCTGTCTCCTTTTCTTCTGGACATAGTCTCCAAGTATCTTTCTCAGCAAGAGTTATCTGTTTGAGGTGATACTTGAAGTTGCCATGTCGAGCAATTAGTGAGGTCAGCCAGCTTAGGGTGCTCCGCGGTTAGCTAAGCACTTTTATCGATTCCCTGACTCACGGTTTCGGCAACATGAGTTTGATCTGTCTAGAAGTGCTCAACTCTCTCCATCTATTGAGATGAAGTGAGGTTATCCATTTATAGACATGGGCTGTCATCATGTTGTAACCCTGGTTATGGCTTGATCCTTGATTTGCAAGTTCATCTGCTTTCTCGTTTTGCTCAATACCGACATGTCCCTTAACCCACATGACCGTTACCTCATTTCCATGAACACATTCCATGAGCTTGGTTACACGTTTTTGAACTAAGCTGTTAGCTATGTATGTCTTTTGCATGCTTTTGATAACTGTTTGATTGTCCTGCGCTATCAGAATCTTTTTCTAATACGCCTGACAATCAAATAGATGATCCACAGCATGTGATACGGCCATAAGTTCCACCTGATAGACGGAAACATACATTCCTAGATGTAGAGTGCACGTTAGGTTTAACTCATGCGAGTAAATCCCAGCACCAGCTCTGCCATCGGTAAAGATGTAGATGTCATTGGTATCACTTAGTTTTATCTATGCAGAACCAAAAATAAAAAAGAATTGGAAAGACTGTTCATTTGGCAAAAATATAAGCGAATCCACTGATGATAGTGGTATAGCGGAGTTAATAATTCACCCTTTTTTCCGACGAGCTGGCTGGCCTTGCCACCGTGCCAGAACTTAACTCCGTTTAAACCACATTTTAAAATGTTGAACGTAACAACGTTTCTAATTATATATCTTCAAAGCTCTATTTCAAATTGCACGAGAAAGTTTTCGTATATATATATATTAATAATATGAATTTCAAATTTACTTAAGAATTTATCAGATAATTTGTTAGGCGTCCTTTCGTGTATTTATTTATTTGTTTATTTATTTTATTTATTTCGCATAAGTTTGTTATTTAACTATATAATTACACAATTACACAAATTCGTGACTTGTAATTTGTTTAGTTATTCTACTCTTTTGCAACACTTTTATTGTAAATTTATTTGGAGCTTTTAAGCTTTATTTGCTGTCTCTGTCAGCTGTTTTGAAGTGTGTGTGATTTAGAAAACAAAACCAAAATTTACTTTTTCTACAAAAGAAATAAATATACTAATATTTTATTATTATTATTTTTTTTTATTAATCGTGTTTAAGAGTCACTGCCTTGATTATTTGTTTTCCACTTAGAAAACACTGAAAGTTATGGAGTGATTTTACGCGCGAAGTTAAGCAAAGTTAAAGGTTGATCAAAATGCTTCTGAGGTATTACAAATAAAACGCTTTTATATATTTGTTTATGTTTTTATAAATAAGATAGAAAAAAGTGCCCTTTTTTTAGAAGCTGGTGCATTATTTTTGGACCAGAAAGAATTATATCTTTCAACATGTTTATGTGGGTCATGATCTTCGATTTGGCTGAAATTTTTTATGAGCTCCTTTCATAAAATAAGAAGACCCGTATCTCAGGAAAAAATTTTGTGATTTTTTCCCTAGGAGATATGGACCCATGGGTTTAGAGAAATGGACACATTGTAGACACATTTTCAAATGGCTATATCTCAAGTTCTATAAAACGTAGACTTACAGCGTTTCAAAGATAATTGATTGAGCTTTTATGAAATTGTTTAAACAATTAAAATTGTTTATATTTAAGTATTAATATTAACCGTTAAATTTCAAAAAAAAAAGTTTTTCAAAACTAGTTTTTAAATTTTCATTTTTTATATTTCATTAAGATTCAGTTTTAAATTTTATTACGAAATAAAAATTTTCAGGAACCCGTTATTTTTTGAAATTTTTTAATATATTTTTTTCTCCCGCAAAACACATCAAGCACAAGCGTACTACATTTCAATTAAATGAATTTTCAAAAAATATACTACAAATATTATTATATAATATTTTTGATTTCGATTAGTAATAAAATTGTACATAAAACTCAAAAATTTCAGGACGATATTGTAATTAGAAGTACTTTTAAAAAATTTATTTATCCTTCATATCTCACCAAACACATACACACAATTTTTCAGTACAAAGAAAAAAGGAGTATGTCACACAAATTTTTCTTTTTTACTTTTGATTCAGATTAATATATAAATTCTATTTAAAAAATAAATATTTCTACTGTGACATTCCTTTTAGAATTAATTAAAAAAAAATTAATTAATCAGGTGTCCTTCACGTTACTCATGTGCACCATAGTACCATAAAATCAATTTTCGAAGGATAACTATACAAAAATGTTTACTTTTTATTTTTAATATATACATAAAATATTACTATGTTAAATTAGTTCCGCATTATTTCTGTTTTTAAATTATGAATTTTAACATAACTAAAGCCTTTAATAAACTTTTTCTTATATTATTATTATTATTATTTTATTTAGTTGGCCATTACAGACGTGGATCGTCTGTATCCGCGTCGAGTTGCCTCCGCCAGTCAGCCCGATTAGTTGCTTTCTGACGCCAGTTGGTAGTACCGAGCGCCCCCAAATCGTTGGTCACCTGGTCCTTCCACCGAAGATGCGGACGTCCTCTACCGCGTTTTCCACCTGTGGGTACCGAATCAAATACCTTTCTAGGCGGAGCACTTTCTTCCATTCGCACGACATGACCAAGCCAGCGTAGCCGCTGAATTTTTATGCGCTTAACTATGTCAATGTCGCGGTATACCTCATACAGCTCAT